AAAGGGGTCGCGACCCACAAGTTAAGTTTAAAGCCAGGAGAGGTTGGGGCCCTGGCTTCCCCAGGTTGGGGATGGGGGGGGGCAGGGGCAGGGGGAGATGTGGCTTCGCGTGACTAGGGCGGTATTTACGGTAAAGGAAAGGGAAGCAGCCTCCTCGTCCTGGGCCTCACAATCCAGTGAGGCCAAGGGGAATCGATCCTAGAATGAAGCCTGTCAAAACGTCTCTATGAGGTGATTTTCCAAAATCACACTATCTGATTGGCAAGGCTGAGGAGGCTGGACAGTCCTGACTGGGTATTCGGATGTGGAACCAGCAGGCACGCCAAGGATCTGGCGAGGAGTGGGCGGGCTTTCGGAGCTGGAGGCCTCGTTTCATTGGCGAAAAGAAAACGAACCAGGAACTGCTCCGCAGCGTGATTGGCTGATTCTAGGACCCCCGCCCCTCGGCCTTCGTGTCCCGGTTACGGAAGCTGGTGAGGGCCGAGCGCGGCGTGTACCTCTAGGAAGTTAGTTGGTGAAACCCAGGTAGCGGTGAAGCGGCGGCACTGCTGTCCTAATGGCGACGGGGAAAGCTAGCAGCAGCGACGGGGAAGGGCCAGAGGTCGAGACCTCGGTCACCTATTACCGGTTGGAGGAGGTGGCGAAGCGCAATTCATCGAAAGAAATATGGCTGGTGATCCACGGGCGAGTCTACGATGTCACCCGCTTTCTCGAAGAGGTGGGGTCTGGGAGGTGGGCGGCCCCTGGGGGTGAGGGGTGGTCGAACCTGCCCAGTCTTTGAGAAGGGGGTGTATGAGGGGCCTGAGGCCTGGCCAAAGACACTAGGGCTTTCCTTTCAGATGTGCAATTTGTAACAATGACAATACATCCTGCATATCAGATGTTGACATGACGATTCCTAACAGTAGCAAAATGACAGTGAAGTAGCCACGACAATAATGTATGGTTGGGGGTCACCGGGACATGAGGAGCTGTATGCAAGGGACGCGGCCTGAGGAAGGTGGAGAACCACTGCTATATAGGGTGGCTGTGAGTTGGCAGTGAATTTAGTTTTGGTTTTGGTATGTTCGTAACCTTGTAGGAGCTTACTAATCTTGGAGTTAACCCCTTGCAGTTCCTGAGTGGAGCAAATGGTTCATGTTCTCAGCTGCTAACCCAAAGGTGGTTGGCTCAAGTTCATCCACAGGCACCTTAGAAGGAAGTCCTGGCACTTGACTTCTTAAAATTAGCAACTGGAAACCCTGGAGAGCAGAGTTCTCCTGGGTACACTTGCTGTGGAACTGACTTGATGACAGCTGGGGGGTTGTTTTGTGTGTTTGTGTTGTTGTTTTTTTCGTGTGTTTTTTTCTTGTTTATTTCTTGCATATACCTGCTAAAATAGACAGGGGCTTTAAAGTGTTTGTGGGAAACTGTTAAATCCATTTGAATATTTTTGAAGCTCCCCTTATATGACCTTATTTTAACTGAGAAACAATTCATTTCAATTTGTCACCCCCCCAAGAAAATCCACTAATAAATGCTTGATTAGTTTGGATACTGGGGAGGGAGAATCGTTACACCTTGATTTGCAATTCTATCATAGCATTTAAAATGGAACGTTTGCCAGGAAGGAAACTATTTTAGTAAATCTTCAGAGTGGCTGTTAGGGTGACTTAGGGACATCTTAAATTTGTATCACGTGGCATTTTGCAGTGTTTTTGTTTTTGCATTTTTAAGTTTTTAAGAGTTTTTCCATTCTTTCATTTAATTCTCAAAATGACTGGGTGGGAGAGAACCTTCTTTGGGGTAGTAACAAGTTCCGGGAAGTTGTGGTCATTTGCTGAGTGGCTGAGACTGGTTTAGATAAATCCTTTGCCTTGTCTTGTTTACCTAACATTACTTCCAAATTCTAGTTTTAAGCTATGTTTTCTGGTGTTTGCCGCAGATGTTTCAATTGGGTGATAGCATATTAAAGCTTCATATAATGGGTAGGCACTCACATTTTTTTCATCCGTGTTTCATTTTCCATACTTTGTTCTTGACTGATTCAGAACAGAAAGTGAGTTTGGAAGGAATACTCAGTGCTTGGGGAGCACATTCATGCATTCCCAAGTTGTGACTGCTAACACACTCCTCCACATTCTGTTAGCGCAGTCCTGTCGTCTCTAGACTTTTTGCTCGTTGTCTTTATTCATTTCTCTACTCGGTCGTTCCAATATTACAGTCTACAAGGGTCCCATGTCAGGAGCCCAGGTGGGGTAGTGGTGACATGTTGGGCTGTTAACCAAAAGGTTAGCCATTCAAAACCACCAGCCGCACTGCGGGAGAAGGACCAGGCCTTCTACTCCCATAGCAGGTGACAATCTCAGAAACCCACAGGGTCACAATGAGTTGGAATCGACTTGATGGCAGTGAGTTTGAGTTTTTGAAGTGCCAGATACTGTTCTAGGTGTGGGAGTGAAGGGTCAAACATTTACTTATGAGAGAGCTAATGGAGATTACCGTCTCATGGAGGGGGACAATAAGCAGAACAAACAATGACCATGTCAGGTGGTGGTAAGTACTATGGAGAACTTGGAAAGAGGACTGTGGAATGTGTGTGGAAGTAAGTAGCAATGAGGAATGAAAGTTTAGACAGGTTGCCTTGTTAAGAAACTGATTAAAGGGTGGAAAGCTATTTGGGGGAAGAGCAACCCTGGAGCTTTGTGGTCGAAGCATGCCTGGTGTGTTTGAGGAACAGTGAGAGGCCAATGTGCCTGGACAGTAGTCGGTGGGCCTGTATGATCAGGGCTTGAGGACTTTGACTTACGAGGCAGAAAACTTTTGGCCAGAGGAGTGACATCCTGTGACTGCATGATTTAATAGATCACGCTGATTGCACTGTCGAGAAGACTGAAGTAGAGCAAGGGTAGACCAGTTAGAAGGTTGGAGACTAGTTAGAAGGTTGGATTGTGGCTTAGCCCAGGAAGATGCCAATGAGGGAGGTGGTTAGTGAGAAGTGCCAGGTTCTGACTGGGCTGTGATGACAGAGCTGATAGGATTGCATGATGCACTGGATTTGGAAAGTGAAAGAAAGGGGAGCTAAGGATTTTGGTCTGTGGACCCGAAAGAATAGTCGCTATTAGATGAGATGAGGCAGATTTACATCAGTTTTCAACCCTCACTTTCCACTGGAAATCACTTTGGGGCCCCTCCTTAGCAAGAGGTTTCTAATTGGAATACCCTGCATCCCTGGTTTACATTTTTTGGGGTGTGTGCGGGACATTGGGTGAAAGTTTACAGAATATATATATTCTGTACAAGCCCCCAATAAAATGATTATATATATTATATATATA